GTCTCAAACATTGTGCACCTTATTGGTTTTGTCATTGATGCATGCTGGAATTTATCGAGAAAATTACTTTAGAATGTGAACAAAATTCAATTCAGTTTATTTTGTACAGTGACTGTTCTCATGAAGTCGCATAAATTCAGGATACAGTCRTTTCATTCTAATAACAATAATACAATACTTCCCCATGCAATAATTTATGAAATGCTAATTTGTAAAAATAATCAAAGAAAGCTATTAGAATGTATCAGATTTTCACTTTGTCGCAATCCCCCATCCTGAGCAGCATGAAAAACGTCAAAGAAAGTAAAGAGGAATCTTTTTAACAAGAAGAAGCCTCCAGCAGACCCATACACAAGATGCTCAGCCATCCTCCCCAACCAGCTGAGGGTTTGAGAAGGTCGGAAAGAGATCAAATGTAGTTTCTATGGGAAGAAAAAAAAAACAAGTAATAACAGTGATAACTGCATGTATAAACATGGAAAACAGAGTGAGTAAAGACAGCAGTAAAATTACGTGTGGTTAGACCTGTATGTCCTCCGGCAGACTAAGGAATAGCTCAAGAAACCCACGTTAAATTTAACTGTTGGATTTATCAAACAAACAATTCTTAAATGTGGTTAGCCTCACATATGGAAATGGAAAGTTGGTTCCACCAGAGTGTAAGCATGAAATCTCAAAACTCTTCCTCACAATCCACTTTTAGAAACTSTAGGAATCACAAGTAAACTTTGTCATTCACTTGCTACAAGTTTTTCTAGTAACTTCTTACTTTTAATTCTGTCCCATTTGCCTCCTGCTAGGAGATTAGCTCTCATAATCATACACTTTGAACAAAACTGTAAACTTCATCAGCTGCGCACATCAAAAGTCTCCAAAAAGACTCTGTCTTCTGTGCATGTCTTCTGTYTTTCCTCCATGTATTCATGTCTGCATTTGAATTCATCCTTGTGTTTTCTTCTGTTTTGTGTCCCCAGGTGGCAATTCTTGTTCCGTTTAGGAACCGACACGAACACTTGCCCATACTCTTGAGACACCTGGTGCCTGTGCTGCAGAAGCAGAGACTCCAGTTTGCCTTTTATGTCATAGAGCAGGTATGTCCATGTAAATTACTGTTCGCACTGACAGTCACCTTTTCTGAATCCAAACACGAAGATACCATAACTGTTGGAAATGCTCTGAAACTGGATGAAATGACCTGAACAGCCAAAAATCACAATGTGTTTTTCTTTCTTTAGGGAGGTACGGAACCATTTAACCGAGCCATGCTGTTTAACGTGGGCTTCAAGGAGGCGATGAAAGACTTTGACTGGGACTGCCTGATCTTCCACGATGTGGACCACCTCATGGAGAATGACAGGAACTACTACGGCTGTACAGACATGCCTCGACATTTTGCAGTCAARCTCGACAAGTACTCCTACATGTGAGTCTTAATTCTGTCTCCACTAAACTTTATAGTAAACTTTAAAAAAAAATGACCGTTTATAATTGTTTCCACAAGGCTTCCGTATAATGAGTTCTTCGGTGGCGTCAGTGGCCTGACGGTGAAGCAGTTCAAAATGATTAATGGCTTCCCTAATGCATTCTGGGGCTGGGGAGGTGAGGACGATGACCTCTGGAACAGGTGAGGGAAACCTTTACACACAAACACCGACACTGGCTTGTCTGAAGGCTGGCTGGGCTGTTGACTTTAGATGATTGTAGATTAAGTAGGAGGAGTTGGCACGTACCAAAGCTTTTGTATTAATTGGACCTTTTCCTGCATTTGTCTTTGCATCACTACAACACACACATACTTATACAGGTCACAGGCAGCTGCACACATATGAGGCTGTCAATACATTTCTTCAACTTTCACTGACCTTTTGCATTTGTTTATGCCTTACGCACACAGTTATGTGATTGTATCGCAGTATTGAAGAGTTGCAACACAACACAGCTTTGTATGGAAATGTCCCAGCGAGAGGCATTACGACAATTTATTTTCTGCCTGATTGTGTACGTTACAGATTAATGAGCCTTAAATATGTTTGTACAGGGTGCAGTTTGCCAATTACACCGTAAGTAGACCGCACGGAGACCAAGGACGCTACATGTCAATTCCCCATCACCACCGCGGGGAAGCCCAGTTCCTGGGAAGGTTAGTGATCATGTGTGCTCACAGCTCACTCACGCACACTAAACACGACCCACGAGTGTTTGGTCCAAAGGGAGGGGCAAGCAGATAATGGCAACGAGGCTTAAGCTCATGTGATTTAAGCCAGTCACATGAAAAGCCAGAGTTGTGACTCTGAGTGAATTTCAACTCTTTTAAATACTTTGCATGTGATGTGTTTGAATGCTTCGAGGTTGAATTCTAGGTCACTTAAAGCGTCCAAAGCAATTCATGTTTCTTTCATTTTTGTCAATGCAAACCTTTAAAGGGATCCCCGATTAGTTGTAACATTAGACTTTATATGACAAACATATACTTTAACTGTAAAATAAAGAATGTAAAAATACTGTAGGATGTTCAATTTTTATAATTTTTAAACTAAAAGTTTAAAAATATATTACACGGATGGGGACATTTTATTTACACGCAAAGCATTCTGGGTAAATGATGACATCAACTAGGTCATCGGCACAAGGCTGCTAGCGAGATATATCCACCCTGAAGGTTAATCTTGGACAACATCTGACGATCGACTCTTTTAAATGAAACCAGAGAGCGTTGACAGAGAGGAGAAGGTAGAAATGACTCAGCCTGTAACTGAAAATATAGATGCTAGATGCTAGCACCGAGCTAATACATATTAGGCAATATAGCGTTGGGGCTAGCACAAAGGCTAACAGGCTAAGCTGAGGTTCTTCTTTGAAGCAGCTCTGTTGTCCTCCATTCATATTTTCAGTTATAGTTAGTCATTTCTACCTTCTCCTCTCTGTCAACGCTCTCTGGTTTCATTTAAAAGAGCCAATTGTCAGGTATTGTCCAAGATTAACCTTCAGGGTGGATATAGCTCCCTAGCAGCCTCGGACCAATGGCCTAGTTGATGTCATCATTTACCCAGAATGCTTTGTGTGTAAATAAAATGGCTCCGTCTGTGTTAAAATATATTTTAAAAAATTTACAAAACTGAACATCCTACAGTATTTTTACAGTCTTTATTTTACAGTTAAAATAAATGTTTATCAAATAAAGTTTAATGTTACAACTAATCGTGGATCCCTTTAAGGAGTGCGTAATGCATAAAAGAAAAACATTGTGACTGCGAGATGATCTAAAAGCATTTTTTTTGTGTGTATGAATTTGAATGATTCATTTTAGTGTGTGCAAACTTTCAAGAAAGCTTCTGTGGAACTTCCACTGAACTTGCACTCTAAACCACAGACAGGGTTACACACAGCAGGAGCCAAATTCTGATGAACTGGTTTCTCCACATCTTGTCTCAATGTTTATTAACGTTCAAGTGCTATTCAGTTTCTCTGAGCAGCTTCTTGGAGCACTCTTGTTGTTTCTCTTTTCTAACGTATTTGTCCGCATCTTTGTATCTTCAGGTATACTCTTCTTCGTCACTCAAAGGAGAGGCAAAAAGTGGATGGTCTTAATAACTTAAACTACTCCCCACTGGTTTCCAGAAGTCCTCTTTACACCAACATCACAGTCAGCCTGAGCAGAAAGCTCGCACCCGTAGCTGACTACTGACGCAGACAGAGCTGGACTGCAAAACACCTGGGAATCAAAGTCCTCTGGGACATCAGCCATATCTCACCAGTTGCAGCACTGCTTTAGGACTTTTAAGTTGAGAGGTTTTTTTTGTTGTTTTTCTTTCTCTTTTTTTGCTTTGTTTTTGTTTGTATGCAAAGAAAAGAAGAAGAAGAAGAAGAAAAGAAAATGGAGACTCAAATTAGTATGTTTGATAAATCGTATAAGAAAATAGGATAAGAAAATAGGATAAAATGCTGCACTTATTTGTGCCACAGTTCATCACTCTCATCTGGGCTTGTCTACACTTCAGTCTCCACATGCCTTTTTGCACCATTTTGGCCTTCAGCATCCATTCTTCAAGTATTTTTTTTATTTTCGTTTTTTTTTTTTTATTCTTTAAATTTGTTGGAAGATTCTGGCAGTGACTAGCGCCGCCCTGCATTTTTTGTGCGTGATTACTAAAATAGGTAACGACACACATTCAAGCGCACGCCACACATGCACGCACACAAGAGTATGACCCAAATGTGCTGACATGATCCTGGGGCTTGGATTTATTAAATTTTTTTATTTTTTATTATTTAGTTTTTTTTTTTATTTTTTTGCTTCTTATTTCATAAATGCAGTAAAACCTGTGAAAACATTTGCATGGAAACATACCCTTAGACCACCACACAGCAACTTCAAGCGAGTGAACCCTTGCAGCTGGTTCTGCATAAGGTATGCCAAATCCATGAGTGAATATAGTAAAAAAAAAGATGATATATTGTATGTGAAATAGTTTATTCTAAGTTCAGAGAAAAATCATTCTTTACTCATCTCTTCATCTGTATTTTGTCCATTTAAACATACCATTTGAAGACTGTGATGTTTGTGTTTGCATAGTCGCATTGAATGTTCTGGCTGCCTGCAAGTAGCTGTATGTTGGAGTGCATTGCTCATCCTGTTAGCAATAAGCTGTAATATCAGACAGCAGAAATTAGCCCTGACTTCCTTATCGTACAGATGCAATAGCATGGGTGCTAGCATTCCCCCGCCCCCACATTGGACTACAGAGAAAAGAGTGACTGCGTATGCAAATTTCACATCCAGCTCAACTTTGCCTAAGCAAACGTGCCGCCCTTTTCAGAACTTGTGTGTGTGTTTGTGTGTGTGTGTGTGTGTGTGTTTTTTTTGTTCCCGTCTGTGCAAGAGAGGGCGAGCTATGCAAATGGCCTGCATGCATCTCGTCGTCAGTGCAAGCTTTTCGGGGTGACTTGCAGGAAGCGTCATCTCTAAACTCTGACAAGACTGACTTCAGACCTCACTTTGTGTGTAAATCCAGGCCAGAAAAGAGAAATCTTATAGTTGCAGATGTATTTTTTTTTTAGATTTCACAATCTTAAATGTTTACTCGTCTTCATTATAGTTTCCCTCTTTTTTTTATACAAAAGAGAAATGAAGGTAGAGAATACTTGATAGCTATCACTGTCAATGGTGTTTACAGAAGCTGTTTGCTTTATTTTTCAGATTGTCTAGTGTTTGTTCTACTGTTGGCCAGCCCTTTCCACCCAAGCTGCTGTGAAAGTTGTACAGCTTTTCAACAACCAAGCTTATGGCTGCCTTTTGTTCATTTTTTTTTTCTCTTCCAAATTGACACTTGTTTTGCTTGCATAGAGGAAAAAAAAAGCAAATATGAGGGCTCATCACGACATTGAGTGATAACCACTGATTAGGTTTGCATTCAGAYTTTGGCTTATGATTTTCTTTGCTTGAATTTGATTTAGACAAGTTGATCTAGGTATATATTTTTATTCTTTTTTTTTTCTTTCTTTCAATGATGGAAGCATGCAGCCTTACACTGCTTTGACACAGACTGACAACGCTCTTGTTATACACAGCAGCTCCTCTCTAATACTGTATGTGTTTGGCAGTGTTGAATAGTGGGTGAAACAGACCAGTACTTTAAACATAGCTCTTTTTTAAAAAAATCACACAAACATGTTTTCCCTCACTGTCTGTCCTCTGGTCATACAGCTACTTCGTTTCACACAAATCGCCTTGTATGCATTTCTTCAGATGTATCTGTTTGTTGGTCGACATGTGGGTGAGTGACAAACTGTTGTGTTTCAACAATGAAAAAAAGAAGAGGCTGGACCTCGCTCTATTTATTTGACATTTGATTTCCTCAGTTGTTTCATTGTTTAAATTTTTTTTCTGATTTACTTTCTTGCGGTTGACGTGATGACTTAGGAAGTGACATATAGCAGACTTGCGTTCGATGCACTGAAACCTAGCTGTGTGTATTTGTGTGGGATTGTGAGGATCTTCTGCATAAACGGTGGCAGTTCCATTTCGTTCAGAGACACTGTTTTCCCCACTTCACAAGTGGCAGAAATTGCAATGAAATGGAATGGCACCTGTACTGTAGCCTGGTGTTAATCTTCTGAGCAGACGTGTTGGAGGAGGCCATTTTGTGTGACAACCACAGGAAGAGCAAGACTCCGAGTTAGAAAATGCTAATGGCCACTGTCTTTCACTGATCACCTCCATTATATTAACTGATAAATCAATGGTGCTGACCTCCCTTTGACAGCTCGACATGCTCACAGGAGCCGGTTTTAAACATGGCAGAAGCTATTGACAGGCAAAACATCCTCCAGAGGCCATTATGGCTCATTGTTTCCACATCATCTCTCAGATAGAGATCAGTAGGGTAGTTTCCAGGTATAGCTTATCCATGTATGTATATGTATATATATATAGCTAACATTTTCCACAAGCCAAGCATGTGCTTACCTCCTAGCTAGTCAACACGGGAGGTGCCCAGTGGAAGTCATGGGACAGTAGCAGTGTTTGTGTTAAGTTTTCTTTTCCATGTGTGTTTGAGTGAAATGGCTACGCCTTTTTTCCGAGGTCGAACCATCCTCCATCTACATTATTTCTTTGCATTTTGTTTGCCAGCGCTGATGAGAACATGGTTGTTAACAACTGGCAGGCTTTTTTTCTAGTTCCTTACATTTACACAATACACTGTATATTATCTTTAAATAAAACAAATTACTTTGCTTTAAATTAAAAGCTAGACGGACACGAAGCAAAAGCCAAAACGGTTTTGGTATGAGTATTGAGACTGTGAGAAAACCCCTCAATCTAAAGAGGCCCTCCTGATGGTCTAAATATTGGGTTGTTGCGTATTATTTTCTACAGTACACAGTGAGCAGCTTTAAAAACATCTCTTTTTTATTTATTTTTTAGTTTTTTGTGACTACTGAACAGCTTCGACCACTAGATTACAGATTGAGGCGGTGAATCTGTCAGCGCACTCTTGGGTTTTATTTTGAAATGGTGAATCATCTGATTTGAGTCTGTGATAAGAGCACGTAGAAACCAGACCGAGACTGCTGCTGTCTAAACAATATATAAAACAATAGGCTTTATCATATCAAAATCCAACCTGTCCTGATTCATTCTGTGCCAGTTTAAATGAAGGGACCATTCTTTTTTTGGGCATCTGACAAGACTGGCAGCCTTAAAAAATAAAATACAAAAAAAGCTTTTTAATTTATTGCATTTTTGTTTTTATTTTCCACTTGTTTTTACTTTGTTTTTGTTTTTTTATAAGCAAAAATATTTAAATTGAAAAAAAGTGCATATCAAGATACTGATTATTGTAAATATTGTTGTTGTGTGTAGTGTTTTAGAAATTCTATTAAGGTCTTAAATCACTACAGATGCTAGCATAAAGAACAAAGCTTCGGGGAAAGTGGGGGGGTTGGCTCGGGGGTTTAACTGGTGCCATTTTAAGTGCTTGTGGAGCTTACATAGTGACATCAATGTTTTTACATCACTGCTTCCAAGCACAGATATTTTTTTTAATAAAAACAAAAACGTTCTTATCCCATGGATTTTAAAATCCTCATAATCTCAGAGGCATTCCCCTTTCCTCCCTCGTACTTAACTCGCTGTGGCAGGAAAAGAGACATGTCCTGACATAGAGGCTTTCCAATGAAGTCCTCTGTCCTTGGTTCCCGCTTGTGACGCTTCTCCGAGTGTGACRGCGTTTGGGGGGGGTGGTTATGGTGGAGGTCACAGGAAAGCTTTGCAATATTTTTTTTCAGCCAAAAGAAAAACTTTTAAAGAAGTCTTACATTGCGAAGTTTAACAAAGGCACCCAAACCAGCGACACAATCCTCTTCAGAATCCTCAAACATTTTTTTTGTATGAAACTCGATTATTTAAAAAAATAATAATAATACAGGCAACAGGATACGGAAAGCTAAATTCAACATATTTATTTGACCGTAAGGAACAGAATTCTCCTTCAATTGAAGCCATTCGAAGCCACTTGTCGAAACTTGATGTCAGCCTTATGTGGAATCTGTTTGTGTATTGGCATATTATCTTTTGATTATTGAAATTTGTATGATGGAGATTTTCTTTTATACCATCATTGTTATTGTCAAGAGTACACCAATAAAAAAAAACTTGTAAAGATCAAAACTTTTGTGCACGCTTTTTTTTTTCCTTTTTAATTTTATCACAAATGTAAAGGTGAATCATTCATTTTTGCTTGTGTGCAATGTTAACAAAATATCTCATGTAGCAGTGAGTGAATAGATTTTATTGAAACTTGTGTTATTGGATGAACATCTACGACTGATTACCTTTGGTTATTCAACATGGCTGCCTCAGCAAGCGGCAGTACTGTATGTCTGCAACTCAGKGAATTGAATAGAAAATGAGCTCCAATTTGCTGTGGTAATGGCTGAGACTGAGCCGCACAATTTATTATAAGCAKTAATGTCACTGAGCAGGAGGTCTGTTTCCAAAACTCTACCAATAACTACTGGAGTCTGTTAAGAGATGAGCTCAAATCTTTAAATGGATTTTAATTCAACTTTAAGAAAATAATTTACTAGGTGTACAGCAGAGGTGGGACCAAGTATTGTTTTGCAAGTCCCGAGTCAAGTCTCAAGTCAAGACARACAACTGCCATGTCAAGTCCCAAGTCTGAAACTTAGAATTTAAAATCTTTTTTAACAATGTTGCAGTTATATGTTAAATGTAAATAGAATGTGCTTTCTTTAAAATCTGTATTTCTCAAATYGTGATGAAACGTGCAGCTGAACTTACAAAGTGTTTACAAAATCATTTTAAAATTGCACCTCGCTATTGCACAATTTGAGTAAACTCAGCTGTGAAGTATTTAAGAAACAATTTTACACTTTAAAAAATCTGGTTCATTTCATTGGCTGTGTTGCAGCTCACATGCACACAATGAAAAAAGGACAGACGGTCTGCCTTTATTAATACGGAATGAGTGAAATTAATTAATGGGACCCACTCTATAAATAATATGTATTTAAACTTTAGATTTTGGTTAAAATATCGAGTCTTTGCAGGGTCAAGTCCAATTCAAGTCCCAAGTCATTGGTGTCAAAGTCCAAGTCAAGTCACAAGTCTCTGAACATTTTTTTCAAGTCAAGTCTAAAGTTAATGACTCGAGTCTGACTTGAGTCCAAGTCGTGATTTAAGTCCCCACCTCTGGTGTACAAATAACAACTGACTAAATTTTGGAATTAAATTTATTCAAGATGGCTGCCACAGCCAACTGACCTTACAAAACCAAAATATGGCTCAAATTTAGTCATGTTTACTGATTTCCATTATCTTAGCTTGCTTCTTTCTTTCAGGGTCACAGGGGTCAGCGGTGCACTTAACCAGCAGTCACTGTGTGAGGGGAGGGGTACACCCTGGACAGGTCGCAAGTCCATCACAGGGACACACAACTATTCACTTTCTCACTCACACCTAGGAACAATTTAGAGTTACCGATTAGCCTAACGTGAATGTTTTTGTGGGAGGAAACTGTAGTACCCAGAGAAAACCCATGCAGGCATGGAGAGAACACGCAAACTCTACCCAGAAAGGTCCGCAGCCGGGATTCAACCCAGCAACCTTCTTGCTGAGAGGCTACAGCTGTTACAGATACTGAGTGAAAATTTGGTCTGGTGGTAGCTGAGCATCATCTCCAGCCCATACTGTGAGCATTACAACATTGTGTYACACAATTAATTAAAACAGTGGCAATGTGTGTTGGCGTCAGCCCTGTCKGTCTGTTAGCAAAATTTGACCTGAACCACTGAATAAATGTTAATGAAACTCACAAATAATCATTGGCTGTGTCCAAAAAGACAGGCCGGGTCCTCCGGAGGACCCAGACTACCCGGTCGCGGCGGGCCGGGTCCTTGGTAGACCGGGAAGACAGGAAAAAAAGAGGCTGTGAATTTGGACGGTCTAGCCTCCCCTCCTTACCCTGGCGTACGTCATGTCACCTAGGAACTATGACGACGCTAAACAAGCAAACTTAAATCAAAAYTAGAAAAATATCAATACATTAGCATTATTAATATCACAAAACTATAAAATTAACTTAAAAGTATCATTTAAAGAACTAATTGACCCGCTGTAGTTCATGTTTATTTCGCATTTTTTATGACGAAAAAATAATATTTAAAAACATGTCTATACAAATGATAAAAGTATTAGAATTACAACCACTAAAATTTTTTAATTTTTATATCACCATATTTTTATTTAAAATGTATTCTTTTCTCTCGCTTAGTCCGCCATTACTAGCATAAAAAAATCTCCGGTCGGGCCGCAATGCATTATGGGATACGCTGGGCCGGGAAGGATGCATCAGACCAGTCCTTCGATTCGGGCCAAAGGAAGGACGTATTTGTCGGCCACATCGGAGGAGTATTCGGTTTTGGACGCCCTTTGTCGCGGCGGTGTGACGTATGCGGCCGACAAATTTGGCCTTCGGAGGACCCGGCCTGCTGTTTTGGACACAGCCATTGTATTTAAATTTATAACTGACTTTTGGAAATGGCTACTTTTCAGCAACATTTATTAAAAAAATATAGCTCAAAGCTGGTATAATAGTAACCATGATATACTCTGTGTGCTAACACATTTTGCAACGCCTCACWATAATGCAAGAGATTGTGCTTTATGAGGTTTAAACAAAGTGGCTATAACTGCTCATTCGCAACATGGSATTTTAGCTTAAAACTTACAAAAAGCTAYGCAGGATATGCAGTCCTCCAGACTGCAAGGCCTTTTCCCCGTCATCTATCTTGTTTTCCTGCAAAATATGTAAAATAGGTCAGTGAACCTATTTTAAACGGTATGTACATATAATTATGTGGTCAGACTGCACACTGCCACTTCTGCACAAAGTGTGATTGTGCACATGCGAGGCTGCTTCCTCTTAAGAGACATTCAGTTCACACTTCATTACTCAAACAAAACACAGAGTGAAAAACTGACCCCAGCTAAGAACATAAAGCTGCCAGTTGTAGCTCAAAGAAAGCAAGGCAGTATTAAAATGTCATGATTTCAAACCGTACGCTCTGCAGCAGCACTCACATGGAAAACTTAAATCTATTATGAGACTTATTTACAGTCATCTGAAAATATCTGCTCCTTATTTGATTTTTATTGACTGAATTCTTGCATGATGAGGGGCTGTACGCTGAATATAAACACCATCACATTCCACTTAAAAAAAGAAAAAAAAATTGAACAGATGGTTATTGTCTGTGTGCTTGGCTCAGATACGCAGGCTCGGGCCTTTTTGTGATCCTCAGTTTCTAGAATAAAATCCCAGCATCTTGGGATCAGGCTCCCCTTGAGTTTGTGAACTCTCTTTAATTGTCCTTTGCATGGCTCTTGTCACCAGCCGCTCCGCTGAGAGTTTGCCCAGTAACGTATCCGGATCCAGGGACAAAGATGATGCTTGTTCACATCCTGCAGCCCACGATCGTCACCCAGTAAGGAAAACAGCATGCAAAATGAAACGCTTTCACGAGAGTTCACTTTGAGATTTGAATCAGAGCAGCTGCAGCCCTGTGGCATTTAGCACATTAGATGTGCTTTTCTGCTGGTTAACAGAAGTGACAGCGTAAGATTTAATTATGCTTTTAGAAAAGAAAATGCTGCGTGGCAGAGATGGGACATCATCACGGTCCCTTTTAGTGTATTACTCACTATTTGTGCACCATTTCCTCTAAGAGGCTTAAAAAAAACAAGAAACATCATTTAAAACACCAGCGTTTGTTTGCACCAAAAAAAACTGCTGATGAGAAGTAACGGTAGTCTGACTGTGAGAGTATGAGAGGTTTAGTGGAGATGCAGGAGCCCGGCTGGCGCAGCTTCATCCTAATGGAGTCTGGGAAACACAAGGCTACGGTATGCTCACACCAGTGTCACTTAGCTGGCAGATGCACACAGAGGGCAGCTCTTAAGATCTCAAGAGTTCCCCTGGCATGTGTAGACAACATACACACACACACATTTGCACACACATAGCCATTATGATTCATCCACACGCATCCCTTGAGTGTTATGCCACTCAAAAGGCTTTGATGTCATCTGTGGCGCCTGTGCCTCTGTGTGATGATTATGGATCTGTTTCAGTGCAGTTCTCCCTGCAGGATGTCTTAAACTGGAATCTGCATCGGAAATCTAAATAGCTGATTGTGTAGCTTTTGGTGGTACAGTGTAGAGCGTCACCTGTTCCTCTGAGCTTCTGCCTTTGAATGTGTGTACTGGTGATTGTACTGGTACTTTTTAGGACTGTTTCTGGTATATACACCTACATTGTCAAGACCAGTAGGTTTTATGGGGACCAAAGACCAGTCTTAATATGATGGAACTCCAATTTTGGGTTGGGCGTTAAGTTTAGAACTGAGGTATGAATTAAGTTTAGGTTAGGTTTAGGATTAAGTTTAGGGTAAGGGGTCAGAGTTAGGCTATAGAAGTGACTGAAAATCAATGGAAGTCAATGAACGTTCTCAATAAGGTTAGAAATACAGACTTGTGTGTGTGTGGATGCGTATTTGCAATATCATGGGGACCATTTTTCAGATGAACACAGCCTTGTGGACTCATTGCTCCTTATGAAGGCCAAAGCTTGGTCTCCATAGGTAAGGATGTTGATTTTGGGTTGGGGGTTAAGTTTAGGACCAAGGTGTGGATTGAGTTTAGGCTAGATTTAGGGTTAAGTATGTACATGTGAGATTAGCTTTAGGGTAAAGCATCAGGATTAGGCTATACAAACGACTGAAAAATGAATGGAAGTTGATGCAAAGTCCCCACAAGGATAGAAAAAAACAATGTGACTGTGTATGTGAGCATCTAAACAGAGGTACCCATTCAAAAACAGGAACCACCAAAAGGGTCATTTTTTTAAAATTTGGGCTTTTCTTAATTTTCCTTTGTACCAGAGATGGTGCATGAAAGTTTGTAAGGTATTCAAAGCTGTGCTGAAGCACCTTATTAATCTTCATGGGACACCTTCAGCTCCAGGTTTCTGGAGGAGATCCTTGCATGAATCATTTGCTTCAGGTTCTTCTAAAACATTTTTATTTGGGTAAAGGTCAACCCGTTGTCTTGACTCTTTTGCAGCATAATTCAGATTCTTATTACATCAC